CCCTAGGACTGCCCTGGGAGGCTAAAGTTGTTCTGGGCACGAATGCAGAGTCAAGGGGTTCTAGGGAATCAGTTCACAAACTTGGCTGGCTGATCACAACGGAGGACCCTGACATATTCTTTGAGTACCCTATCAGTTCAGGATCAGTGGGTAGAAAAGCAGGCCACAAGTCTTTGGGAAGCTAACACTGTGCTGATCTCAGAATCGGAAAGTCTAATTCCAGGTTTGTTACAGTTAATAGATCTGTACCACCTATTCATTCACTAGACTTGTCCCCAGAACATCAGACCCTGGCTCGTGAACTTCATCTTAACCTAGGATATATCAGGCTACCTGGCTAATAACTCTGGCCCCTGAAGTTTCCTCCTTTCAGGACTCCATTTTAGGTCTCAGGGCTATCTGAGGTAAGTGGTGCTGGAAGCTGCTACTCAGTCTTCATTTCCCTCTGGCCAATCACCAGGTGACAGCTCTGTCAACTGTGGGTGGCTCAGAGGCCATCACTCACCAGGGAATGCTACAGACCTGCATCATTATCTAGGAAATAGGGTTTAGTGAGGACCTCAGCAGGTGCCTCATTGATAAGGAACCTATATATGATAACATCATGGAAACAGAGCTGCCCTATAATTTGAATTCCCCTCTGTCAGAGAAACCAGAATCAAATGTCTACAGCAGGGTCTGAAAGCAGGAAGGTTTGTCACTTGGACCACCAAAGAAATAAGAAAGGTCTCAAGGTCCCTCTGCTGTTGCTAGACCTATAGACAAGTTCAGACATAGTCACCAAGGCGAAGTTCACAAGGTAGACACAGGACTGGGAGATTAGAGGCTTCCACAGCACACTTGCAACACTGTAACCCTTCACTCACACATCTCCACCTGCATCCCAAGACTCTGAGTGGGTACCATTAGATTCTGTTCACTCTCTATAATCTCAGTCCAATATCCATTTTGCATATTGACACAAAAGCTACTGGTTGTACCAGCTAAGATCAGGAAACTACAAGGAAAAAGCCTCGAGGGTGGGCAGATTAAGGGGACAGGTGCTAGGAAAAGCAGTAGGAGAAACCTCAATCAAGCTGGACAAGAAGAGATCTACCAGCAACTCCCTGTCGACTGCTACCAGTGCCCGAGGCACCAGGGTAGTCTGTATCTTCTCAGGGTGTTTCCTCAGAAACCCCAGGAAGTTTGTGACCATGACCTCTTGGCTTCTGGTTATATTGAGACCTTCTGAACGAGAAAGTACCACAAACTCAGCCTTGTTAGACCCAACCAAATCTTTCAGGCTACCAGTTAGAATGTCTTGGACTGTGTAAACTAGCCGCGATTTGCCTCATCCACGGTCAACACCTGTTGTCCCAAAGTCGTCCGGGCTCACAGTTCCACAAGTAGTGCTTTGAGGCCGGAAGACATCTGGCCGTCAACTGGTGCAATTAGACCGGAAAAGGTGTCATATGCAGTTCCAAGTGCGGTCACCGCCCCCTGGTGGCCATGGCCTGGAGTTGCTATTCGGGATGATCAGGCTGAGTGCTCTCCGTGCTCTTGAAAGCCTTGGAAGGGACCCCAAACTCTCGGGCAGGTGGAGATCACCACCCCGTCCTACATTCATAATTACTACTGGCCACCAGGTGGGTAGGAGATGGTGAGATCAAATTCGACGAACTCAGAAGGTCGAGCACACCAACCACACGCCCACTACCCACCTGGGAGCCTAGAGCAAGTGTGCAAACGCTAGGGGTCAGAAACCCAGGCAACACAAGTCAATCAGGTTTCCACTCTCCGCGCTCCAAAAACTAAGGACTTGGGCCAGTTCCGCCTTCTGTCCTCTGCAGCCCTCCAGGCCACCTGCCACCTCCCTCTCCCTGGCAGGGGGTTGCCTACATATGGCTCAGGAGAATTGCCGAAACCTGTCCAGGATCCACGCGGCTGAGGAGACCGAGCTGCCCATCTGAGAAGATGCCGCGGAACCACCCGGGCTTTAGGAAGGGAATGTAAGCCGTGCGCTGACCCCTCCCAAGAGGTGAGCGCGGCCCCTGCCTAATCCAGGCCCGCGCCTACCGGTCCTCACACGCGGTCTCACTCTGCTCGGCCGGGCGGCCAGGCACGTCTGGGGCCACAGTGGATTGTAGGGGCGAAGGGGAAGTCTCTGCGGAGACAGGCGGCGCAGCCATGGCGTCCCGAACCTGGGGGAGGCCTGAGAGGCGCACCGGGAGTCTGGCACGCTGCGGACTACGAGCCCCACAAGGCCGTGCGGCAAACCTAGGGAAGGGCCCGCCCTCAATACAAACTCAGCCGCACAAAAGCCCTGGAAAAAAAAATCAATAAACATTTATTTGATACAGTAATTTTAATACATACAGTTGATGGCCCACCACCGCACCACTCCGGGCCAGGGGATGAGGATGGGGACAGATGATCACAAGGCGGGCAGGACCCAAGCTCACCTCAAAACATCTTGCAAATAAAACACTTTGTAGATAGAATATATATGCATGTATATCTATGGTTACAAGTGATAGCCAGAAATGCACTTGTGTAATGAGAACTGCATTAAAACCAAACAAAGGAACCCAAAGTTTAGGAGGCGCTGCAGTCGGGTATGAGGGGTGACCTGGGAAACCAGGTCTCCAGGGCAAAGGGCCTGTGTTCCACCCACCAGTGGAACACAGAACAACTCTCCCCTCAGAACCACCATAGGGACAGGAAGGCCCCAAAGGCCCCAGGAGGCACCAATATCTGCCTGTGCAGGAACATAAAGTGCACCCTGGTTCTGCATGAAATGTCTGCCCTTGGCACTTTTCTGTTTTGTTTTTTAGGGCAGGGCAAGCGCTGAGCCAGAGGTAGATCTGTAGAGACCCTGACTTTTGCATTTTGCCAAGGACCCAGGGTTTGTTTGGCCCACCCCTCCTGGAGATCTGCCATGATGGTCCCTCTTACCAGGGTCTGTGTAGGCTGGTGGTTACCTTTGAGCCAGAGTAGGAAGGTGGGCAGACTGATGAACCCTGCCCAGGGAGGGCTTTGCCACCTTGGAAGAGCTTTATAGACTAGCTTGCCAAAACCCCTTACCAGCCACCACCAGCTGGCACCTATCCAACTGCCACTTTTGACAGCTGCCCCCACACCCACCTCAAAGACAAAGGAGTTAAAGTGCTAAACATCAAGTAATAGAACCCCCAAGTCCCATATCAAGGCCCACATATGGGCCTTGGGGCATGTTCTGGAAACTCAACCCCCAGCAAACCTAGGCCCTTCTTCTGACAAGTGCTAAGTACCTGAGAGGCTGGGGTGGATGGTCACATCCCATAGAGGTGTTTTGAAAGTGCACTTGGGCCCTGTTCCCTCCCACAATTGCACACCACCACCCAAAAGTCCCAGCCTACCCTTTCAACTTTGACACTGTATCTTACCCATCTCTGTGACCACCCCTTCATCATGTCAAAGGTGTGTAGGAATTGAAGAGCTCATTAGTTCATTCAACACCTCCAGCATATAATGCCAGGGCTGCCCAGAGTCAGAACCATCCTAGATAGGAGTGTACAAGGACTCCATCCCAAATCTCCTGGGTACCCCTCCCCCTTGAGGTTGGGGGGCAGGTGCCAGTTAGTACTACAGCCCAGCTCTACCTTCGGCACCAGGAAACCCTTAGCACCAAAACATAAAATTGTTGAAATATATATATATATACACATATATGTATACATATATATGTAAAAAATTTTTTTCTTAAAAAGTTGCTACTTGTCACAGCAACAAGACTGGCATCAACAACATCCAGGAGACACACACAGGCAAATATCAAAATTCACATCATCTAGGATCAGAAGCAGAGGCCTCAGTCCACCCGTACCCACACAGGAAAAAGCTGTTCTAACCCCTCCAGTCTTCCAATGTGGCTAAGAGGGGTGGGTAGGACCAGGAAGGAGGGCACATCTCTCTTCCAGGCCTTGCCCAACCTGCAGACCCTGTTATCCTCAGGGCCCCCAAAGGGGTGGGGCCCAGCCTAGAGCTGCTACACTGGCTGAGACCCCATCTTTCACTATCCTTCAGTTTCTGTATCGAATGACTGATTGCCACTAGATACTGAGGGCAGATGAAGCAGAGGGAAAAAGAGGGCTTCCTCAGAACTGGGCTTCTGGGCCCACCTAGCATGGTAGACATAAGATGTCTCTCATAGGCGCTACTCCTGGGCTAGAGGCTCCTTCTGGCCAGCCTCTGCTTCACATGGCTGTGGCCTGAGGGAGGCACTACTCAGGGTGCCAACAAGATCAGAAACTAAAGGCTGGAGGTGGAACATTCCAGTCTTTTGCTCTCAGGTTGGGAGCTACAGGTCTGGATCCTACTGAAGGTAGAACACACAGAGTTCTTTCCTTGCCTGGAAGGCTACACACTACACCATGACCACACCAGTCAATAGAGTGAGGCCTGAAGCACAGCAGGGATGACAGAGGAGGGGAGCAGGTCCAGAGAGGTAGAAAACAGAAGCAAGGGGGTCATAAATGGATGCAAGAAGACAGATGGGTGGGTGGCTGTCAGGGCAGCATGGCAGTAGCTAGACAGGGTCTGTCCTGGGAGGTAGCTGGGAATACTGGAGATCCAGTGTTGGGTGGAGGTGAGGCCTAAGTGATGGCAGCCAGGCTGCTCATGTGCCTCGTCAGCCCACAATTATGGGTCACCAGGAATGTCTGAGCCTTGAGGGAGTCAGGATGGGGACCCTACTGGGCCAGAGGGAGGTGGAGATAGGGGCCATTTGGCTGTTCAAGCACACTTTGTACCCCACGGTGCCAAGGCTCTATATTCTGCCAGGTCCAAGAATGTCCGAGTAGGGATGGCTGGGGCCCCTCAGCCTATTGCACTTTTGCTACTGCCCCTGGCACTCCTGGGGAGCCCCACTTAGCCATGTGAGGCAACCTAAACAGGGGAAGGACCACTTTCAGGGAGATTAGAGTGGTTTGCCAACCTCTGGACAGATGGGTGTGTGCGTGTGTGTGCGTGTGTGAGTGTGTGTGTGTGAGTGTGTGTGTGTGTGTGTGTGTGTGTGTGTGTGTAGGTGGAGGACAAGTCTGGAACTGGTTCCCCTAATCTCTGCAAAGCTGGGCATGGTGGCTAGGCCCTGCCCATTAGGCTCACTTTTCAGGTGCCTTCCCAGCTCCAGCCTTCTTCCCAGTGGAGCTTCGGGCCCCCCTGTCTCTGCCTCCTGGGGGCCAGTCATCCCTGTTAGGTGGCAGCTTAGATGCTGGCTCCTCAGAGGACCGTTCCTTGGGTTTGCGGCCTCGCTTCTTTCCTCCTGACAGATTTTTCTTCTTCTCTTTCCTAGGCATCAAGGAGTCCTGGTTCTTGTGTTTGGGAGGTGGATCAGCTGAGGTTCGGAACCAATTCTAGGGAGAAAAAACTTGCAATCAAGACTGGGAACCTTGATCTAAAGCTACCTACCTAACTCTTTTGTCGTTAACTTGTAAACATGTTTATTATTATTATTTTTTGGTGTGTGTGTCTGTATGTGCATGTAAGTGCAGGGGCTTATGGGGACTAGGGAGCTATAGCTGTAGACAGTTGTGAATCTCTTGACATAGGTGCTGGGAAACAAATCCTTGTCATCTGGAAGAGCATCTTAACCACTGATACATTTTTCCAACCCACCTAAACTATTTTTTGGCTGGACATGTAACTGCTAGGAAGCAGCTGAAGACAAGGGTTTCCCTGCCTTGGGAGGCTCTTCTCAGGGGCCAGGTACCAAGCTAGGGCCCCACCAGACTATTCTTTTTGCTTTTTCATTTTTCTTCAAGATTTATCACCACATGGTCTGGACATGTCAGGGGAAGTGAACTGTATTTTGAAAAGATAACACCAGATTTCTCAGTGTACACCATCTGAGCCACTTGTTTTCTACCACCCATCCCTAAGGTCAGTCTCCAGGCCTGCAAGCCCAGAAGATAACTTTCATACCTCTGCATGGGTCTTAAGGATGTGGTACTTGACACCGCTCTCAGAGCTGAACTCTTTGGGACACAGCAGGCAGTGGTACTTCCCCACCAGGTGGTCCCCCTGCAATGCACAGTGGTCCAGTACCCAACCTTCGGAAGATTCAAAGCACCCACATCTGGTCCAAGCCCTTATTGTGCTGCTAAAAGGTTAGGACTGGGGTCAGCCAAAGAGAAACTGCACTGTTTTCCAGGATGTGTGTACTAAGGTTATTAAGCCACCACTGCTAGGAGTAGGAAATAAAAGGAGAGTGGGATGAGGCAGGGGTCACAGTCCTTTGGTGAATGTACTCATCTCAAGCCAAGTGTGCTCTCTGCTCAGGTCAGGATGAACACTTACACCACATAAGATAAGGAGATCCAGGAAAGGATTTGGAACCAAATGGCTAGTGTAGGGAACAGAGAGGGATTCTGGGCTACCTGTTGAGTACCTACTAGTCTCTGAGATGTAATAGACAGGGTAGGGGTCTTACACTGATACAGGTAAACCCTTGGCAAGAGAAAGCTGGAAGTGCTCAGTGCCCCACCCAACCATGGGGATAATTCTGGAACCAGAACTGACCTTGCTGCAGCTGGCAAGATGGGCCTTGAGGCCGGACACACTGGAGTAGATGGCTTCACAGCACTGCAGGCAGGAGACAGCTGTGGAGGAAGCCCTCCCACAACTCCACACAAGGGGCACCCCATCCTCAACCCCAGAGCATTCTGGGGCTTCTCTGAGGGCAGGTCCCTGGAGCCTTGGATTTTGGGCAGGGTGGGTAGATGGGCCCCCCCAGGCTGCAGTCCCTTTTGTTGGCATGGTATCTATATGAAGACTCTACATGAAGCCAGGGTCAAAGATAGGCTAAAGCTGGTTACTTCCCAATAGGACATTCACTGTCTTAACCTCTACTGTTGCCTGAAGGGCCAAACCTAAGCCCTCTATCCTGGAGCCCCAACACCCCACACCCACTATGTGCTGGTCCCAGCTTACATCATTGGGACAGTTCACATGGCCTTTCTCCTTGACTTCATTCTTCCATGCCTCCAGGAGCTGGGGATTAAGTGTAGGGAGGCCTGGCCGAGTGTAGTTGAGCTGCAAAGCCAGGCACAGCACCAGGTGAGCTTCAGGCTGAGGCACATGCTGCTCTGACACAATGCATGTGCGTCTGCAGCAGGCTCACTGCCCCTTCACAGACGGGGTTAGTAGATGGCCAAGGTCACAAGAACATGGCTGCCACAGGGGAATCATATGAGGCCTGTCCTGGTCAGAGACCAAGAAGTTGGGGGAGCAATTAGGGAATGACCTAGGGCCAAGATCCTGCCCATCCCTTAGGTGGGCCACTCACCCTTGCAGTCTCAGGCACGAGGTCATCCTTCATGCGCCGTTTGGTCCAGTCACGGGCCAGTTCATCCTCTGCAATCTCCTGTAGATGGAACACAGCAACCTGGGCCGATGTGCGACGGATGCGACCACTTGGGGTCCGTTCTACTCCAAGCAGGTCCTCAGCCTCAGGGATCTTGTCTGTGGGCTCCTCGGGGGGCTAGATAGCAAGGACACACAGAGGCCAGTATAAGCCATGGAGAAGGAAGACATCCAGAGGCCAGGAGTTAACAGTTGGCATGAGCTGTAGGCCATGTGTGGTCTCTGCAGGTATTGGGAGACCCAGGATGCACGCAAGTGGTGGGAGATACAGACACAACAAATACATCTTTCCTCTCAGGACACACAAGACTTAAGATCACCAAGGGCAGGGATTACACTTATCAGGGAGCACATGAACTCACAAAGCACATGCCTGACACAACACAGGTCATCAGAGCAAGGACATGGTGGATAATAGGCCACTCACCGGGGCTGTGTGCTCTGAACGCACATGGTAGTCATGGCCAGCTTTGGATCGGTAAGTCTTGCCACAGTGGGTACAGGGGAAGGAGGGACTGTCTACCTCACATGGTGGCTTCCCACAGCGCCGCTGGTGGTACTGATAACCCATGAGGCTGGAGAAGGCGGCTCCACAGCCCTGGGGATCCAGGTCAGGGACCAGGTAAGCAATCACCCGAGTTCCCAAGCCCACAACCCACCCCCACCGCCATGGCCCACACAGACCTCTTGGGGGCAGCGCAGCCGTCCCATCTGCTTCAGCACCTTTCGAAGCCTTTCTCGCTCCTCCTGCTCTCCCCCCTCAGAGGCCTCAGCATCAGTGGGCTGGAGACAGAGCAAGCCTCAGACCTGATGCCAGCCGGGAGTTAGGGCCACAGATCCAGAATCAAGCACAGAGGAGCAGCGGTGCAATGAGAGCTCGGCAGTCAGGGCTAGACAGGGAGCTGGGGGGTCAGGCAGCATACCTTGGCACTGTGTTCGGCCATGGTATGGTAGTTCAGGCCAGCCTTGGACTTGAACTGTTTCCGGCAGTGCTGGCACTTCAGTGCTTCCTGCAACTGTAGACAGGGCCTAACTATGAGAAACCCATCTAGGTCAGGGGACCTTCCCTCCCAGTACCTTGGGGGGCAGGAGGCTTACCTTATGACATACTTCCATATGCTTTTTGAGCCCCACGAGAGTCTTCCGGGTAACCACATTGCAGGTGGGGCAGACAGCCTCGCCCCGTTCATGGATGGCTCGCTGCCACTGCTCCTCAAGGCCACCTGTGAGGCAGGGTCAGGCCTCAGGCTTGTGGGGCTCCTGAATGCCCTGGACTCCAGGAGCAGCCCCCATGCCTTTGCTACAGGATCCAGCCCACCATGGAGACCTGTCCTGGGTCCTGCCAAGCAGCCCCCACCTGGGGCTGGGTGGGCCACAGGAGCTGATGCCTCCTTGCTGACAGTGACAGGGGTGGCCAGCACCTTCTTCCTCACTTCCTCGGAGACTGATCCTTCTTGTTTCTTGGAGCGATGAACTCGGGCCTTGTCTTCAGCTTTGGCCAGGCCTGTATGCACACACAATGTAAATAAGACATATGGGCTAAATACTGGCATACTCAAGTCTCAGAGGTCTCCAGCTGGCTGGGGTCTTACCTTTGAGCCCAAAGGTCCCTGAGATAGATGGTTGCTCCCCTGTGAACTTCTTGGGTGTTTTCTGTTTCCTTCCTGACTCAGGGGAAAGAAAATGAGTACCAAGATCCTGGTAACGTACTATTGAAAGGCCAGAGTCCACGTGGTCAGTTTCCCAGTGCTCTTTTCTTACTGTGTTTTGTGCGCTCGGGGTCCTCTTCTGGCGGGGATGCTGGGTCTGCAGGCCGCAGTGCCTCTTTGCCCATCAAGGGCCTGCTTCCTGGCAGTAGGGAGCTATTGCTGGGATCTGTACCCAGCTGGAAAGTCATACTCTGGCCCATGGTGGATGGGCTATACTCTCCATTCTCTGTCCTTGCCTGCTTGGGTAGGATGGGGCAGGTGTCCAAACTGTCTGCAGCCCTGCAAGTGTAGGCAAGGTGAGGTCCAGGTGAACCCAGTGGCCCTCTCACCACCCCCAGGCACATCTGACAACTTACCACCCCAAATGACTTCCTGTACCTTTTCTTATTGCTGTTCTTGCCTGTAGCACGAGGTGTTTTGTTCTCAGATTTAGTCAGCAATACCATTTTGCAGGGTGGTGTGTGTCTGGTGATGGCAATGGGCCTGTTGACCGGCACTGGCTTGCTGACCACAATGGGCCTGCTCACTGGTACTGGCTTGGTGAGTGGCACAGGTTTTGTAACTGTCACTAGCTTGGTAACCGGCATGTGTTTGGTGAGTGGCACAGGTTTGGTGATTGGGATGGGCTTGGAGACTGGCACAGGTCTAGAAACTGTCATGGGCCTACTGACTGTGACAGGCTTAGTGACTGGCATAGGCCTGCTGACTGTGACTGGCTTACTGATGCCAATGGGTTTGCTGACTCCCACTGGTTTGCCAACAGTAACAGGTTTGCTCACTCCGATGGGCTTGCTGACCCCAACAGGCCGGTTGATGGTGACCGGCCGGCTGACAGGGCCAGGCTTAGGGGTAGGCAGAGGATGTTCCATGTGATTCCAAATCCGGTGCTTCTCCAGCTGGGTCTTGGAGGTGAATGCGGCCTCGCAGAAGGGGCAAGGGAAGGCCAGCCTATCTGAGATAGCGCCCTGGGCAGGGAGGGCAGGTGTGGGATGGGGCCCCGGGGGCCTCTGCCCAGATGCACTCCCAGGCCTCCTCTTCCCCGACCCGCAGCCCCTTACCCCTTGGCACCGCTGATAGTGGTACTTGAGCCCGTAGATGCTGGGGAACTCTAGCCAGCACCCTGAGTTTGGACACTTCACCCTTGAATGTGCCTTGAATTCATCTTTCCACTGATTCATCAGGGAGAACTGGACAGAGGAAAAGGCCAAACTGCTGACCTGCAGCTACCCAGACTCAAAGGCCCCAAACCAAATGAGCCCTTCAAACCTCAAGAGCAGACCAAGTATTCAACCATGTTGCAGACCTATGCTGCAGACTACTAACGTACCCCACTGGGACCTTATAATGGTCAGATGCAAGGGCCCTTGGCCACATGCTGAAACAAGCTGGCACAGGACGTGTTGTGGGCAAGTAAGGGTAGGGCAGTGGCCTTCATGGGCTGAATAGTATGAGCACCCCCCCCCAACCCCACCCTCAGGGAGCTCACAGGAATATCTCGCAGAGCTTGATTCTCAGCTTTCGGCCTCCCTTTTTTCTTCCCTTCTGTCCTGTCACTGGCTGGGTTTCCAGGGTCAAAGCAGAGTGAGGCCTGGCTAGGCACTGTATGACCACTGTGAACCACTGGCATTCCTGCAGCACAGGAGAGAGCAAGGCTCAGTGGGTGCACAACATCACCAACCCCCAGGGGCAGCAAGCACCAAGGCCCAGGGCTATAGCTAACCTAGGACAAGAGCCTAAGCCTCAGGCTAACAATCTCCATCCCAAGAAGGTCCTCAGGATACCCAAGGAGGTAGCCTACTCTACCACTGGCTATCTGTACCCTCTAGAATTGATCTCTGCCATGGCTCCTTACCCAGCTTTGGTGGATCCTGCAACATGGGAAGCTGGACATCCTTGCGGCTGCCAGCCTTTCCAGATCCACTTTTGCTGGACCCTTGAAGCCGGCGGCCTCCTCCAACACAGAAGGGTTCAGTCATCTCTATAGAGCAAGTGCACAGACCTATGAACTGAATGGGCCCAACCCAGGGCTGTCGCTGGGGCTATCCTAGAGACCCACAATAGGCCTCACTAGCCCATCAAAAAGGACATAATGGGGGCTTCTAACTCAGGGAAAGGGGTTTGCACGACAAGTTCTCTTTAAATAACCCACAAGGCACAAGCACTGTGGAAAGAGCTGAGGCTGTCACTACATCTGACACACTCACTTCCTCATCTAGACACACACCACAGGAGGCAAAGGACCCTGTGGGGCCTGTGTTCAGAATGGGACTGTGCAACGGGAAGGACACTGATAATATCCCTCGTGGGGGACAATTCACCAGTAATGGTTGCTGACTCAAAGGTAGCCATGCCATGATGCCTCAGGGACACCTTCTCCTTAGGGCCCTGGCCCCTGCCCATCCCGATATGTAACACTAGCTTACCCAGATGGGCACCCCTGAAGACCTCTCTATGGACACAGAAGACAGCCAACATGAGAGATGAAGGCCTGCTTCCCCACCACATGCACCCATGTCTCTGGTGAGCGAATGAAGACCCACTGGAACTCCATTTTGGTTCCAATGCTTGCTGAGCCATCCTACCTGCCTGTCTTCCCAGCCTCCTGTGTAGTCAGGGTGAGGCACTGGTTCAGACCCTGAGCCACCACAGGCTATCAGGCCACCGCTGCTTGCTATTCTCAATAACTCCGAGGTTCCTTACCCAGGAACCCACTTCAGCTAAACAAGTTGCAGCCAATGCCGGCTCAAGCTCTAGAGCCTGCCAGGCTGAAGCACAGAGCATGGGGGGGGCGCGTGCGGGGGGAGCGGGGGTTCCAGGGACCTGTTCTGCTTGAGACATCTCATACCCTGAAAACTGAGGGGGCTCTGACCGCAGACAGCCATGTGGAAGCCTCTCAGAGGTACCCAAAGCCACAGAAGGGGGCGGTACCAAGGAGCAAGGTTCAAGCAGGTGACCCGTCTCCTGCCAGTTTTTGATCAACTCCAATCAGAGGGGATATGTAGGGGCTGCTATTCCGGGAGCGCTCAGGTTAGAGGTCTGGACAGACACTGTCCACTGCCAATAGCAACACCCCATGCTGGGCCTAGGGGGTGAGGGGGTGTCTTAAACCAACCAAAGTTCTCTGGGTGTCCTCCTTTTGTAGCTTCAGAGGGAAACGAGTCATCCAGAATCCTGATAATATTTGAGGCCAGGGGTAAAGGGCCTGCTGCACCCTTCCAGTCTGGTCAGAGATCAGTTAGGGGTAAGGCATGGTGGTCGCCAGAGTAGAAGGAAAATCCCTCCACCACCTGGGGTCCCCAGGATCTCGCTTATAGCCTCCGGGGGAAGAGGGCGCCGCCGCGGACTCAGGCCACTCGCCTGGTCTGGCGAGCGCTGCCAAGACGAGCACCTGAAGGACCGCGGCCACCCACCTGTCACCTGAGGCCGGACACGGGCTGCAGCCTGGGCCCGGAAGCGCCGACCGCGGGGGGGCGAAGGCAGTGAACCAAAATGGCGACTTTTTCTGGAGAAGGAGGAGGCGGGAGGACGGCGCCGACGCGGGGAGCGGGGCGCGGCGCGGGTCCGGGCGCGGCGGGGAGGCGGGCTGAGTACTCGGCTGGTGCGGGGCGCGGGCTGGCGCCGGGGCCGCGGTAGGGCAAGCACAGCCGGCGCTTACCTGCAGCGCCCAACGGGTGCGACCGGGCCAGGCCGGAGCCGGAGCCGGAGCCGGGGCCGGGGCCGGGGCGCGGGGCGCGGGGCGCGGGGTCCGGGCGGCGCACACTGCGCGCCGTGCTGCGCACATGCGCGCTCCCGCCCCTCCCACCTTTGACAGTTTTACTGCGGGGGGGAGGGGGCGAACTCTCGCGGTATTCACGCGGCAGCCGCTGCGGGGAAGGGGCCGGTGGGCCCTGCCTGCGCCTCGAGGCTGTGAGATCCGTGTCCAGGGTGGTACCTGACAGGCCGGGAGGCCCGCCAAGCGTGCCTAGGGCAGGGGTCGCTTTGTGGACAGTCCAGTAAACTGAGGCATGTCAGGAACTCTCTGAACACTACTCCAAATTCTCTCACAGATTAAGCTACCTGTCTGGCTGCGCTAGCTCAAGTAGACCCTAGGAGGAAAGATTGCCATTAGAGGAACTACATAGGCTGTCAGGCAGGGTGAGCCCCAGCCTCTATCTGTCCCTGTGGCCACCTTAGTCAATCTAGACGCTGTAAGACCATTGAGCTTGATTGAGATTACTGGCTATTGGATCAACTCCCATCATTGTGAACAATGGTTCTAGATCAACGGCCAGTATCTAGCTCCTCTGGCCAGAGCCTGGGCTGCTAGAGTCAGATCTGGGGTTAATGACGACCCAACACACAGGATTTGGGAATAAATGAAGCAGAGAGAAATAAACTTTGGCAGACCGGGGAGGAGAAACTGACTGGTAGAGTGAAAAGATAAGGGATAAGCTTTCATTTGTTCGCAGCCTGCATCAGGAGGGAAGAGAAGAAAACTGTGCTTTCATTTGGTGACCACAGTACTGTCATCCCAGACCCCCCTCTGTGTTTTGAAAAAGGGTCTCACTATGTAGCCTCTGGCTAGCCTGGAACTCACTTTGTTTGTAACAAGGTTGGCATCAAACTCAGATGCCTCCCACATGGTGGGATTGAAGGCATTTTCCACCTCTTGCCATTCCACCAGGATGTGGAGCCTCAGAATGTTGGTAGGGGTCAGTGTTCAGTCTGGGGTACATTCAAGGTTGTCACCTTTCCCTGTATGACTCTGAGTGTTCGCAAGTGTGATATGCCAGTGCCCACAGCCCACAGGCTGATATGTGTTTAAGTGACCATGTGTGTCAGATGGCAGTTGTGTGTAGGCCTCACAATGTCATGGCACATTTGCTTGTCCTGTTGTAGACAAGATGTCCACCTGTGTAACAGGGTGTGTGGGATATGTGTAGTATATTCAGGTTATGCATATCCATGTTTAACTATGCGTCAGGATTTAAAGGGCTGATTTCTTTTTTTTTTTAAAAAAAAGATTTATTTATTATGTATACTGTGTTCTGTCTGCATGTATCCCTGCAGTCCATAAGAGGGCATCAGATTTCATAACAGATGGTTGTGAGCCAACATGTAATTGTTGGGAATTGAACTCAGGACCTCCGGAAATCCAGCTGTTGTTCTTAACCACTGAGCCATCTCTCCAGTCCAAAAAAAGGGTGTTTTTTTTTAAAAACATTTGCGTGTATACGTATGCACAGAGGCCAGAAACTGGAGTTGGGAGTTATAGGCAGTTGTGATTACCTGAAGTAGATGCTAGGAACTCAACTCTACAAAAGTAGCAAGTGTTTTTGTTTTGTTTTTTGTTTGTTTGAGAGAGGGTTTCTCTGTGTAGCTTTGGAGCTTTTCATGGAACTTGCTCTGTAGATCAGGCTGGCCTCAAATTCACATAGATCTTTCTGTCTGCCTGGCTAAGAGCAGCAAGTGCTCTAAATTACTATGTCAACTCTCCAGCCCTACCTCCCTGTAACTGGCTTTTGTGTGTATCTAGGTGTCAAGTCATTTTGCAATGTAGTGTGTTTATGTGCACCATGTAGTATGTCTTGTGTGTTTGTGTTAGTGGGTGATTATACATTACTATTTGTGTGCTTGGGTAATTATATCTGTGCATATGGGGATGTTACATATCTTTATAGGTATCCCTTCATCTGGTCAAATATGTATGTGTGCTTGTATATATTCAGGCATGTCTGTGTGTTGTGGCTTATGCCTCTGTGTTCCTATTTGTATGTCTAAGTGCTGTGTTGAGTGTGTGTGCTCCACGTGTTATGTATGTCAGGCTTTGGCTGAAAAGTGAGCCCCCAACAGATGACCATGTTAAATTCCTAAACCTGTAGTGATACTTTATTTGAAAAAAGGGTTTTTGTAGATGTGACTGAAATTCTTGAGATCTATCTGGATTACCCAAGTGGACCCTACATTTAAAGGGTACATGTAAGAGTCAGAAGAGAGTGATCACAGAGATAGATTAGTGATGTAGCCTTGAGCCCAGGAATACCAGACAGACATTCGAAAACAAAATAAAAGGATTCTTCTCTACTTTTAGAGGATCTGTGTTTCTGTTTCAGTGCTGGAGATCAAACGTAGGCCTGGGCCACATACTGTCCAATATCATTAAGCTACACTCTCAGACAATGAGCCAACAGGAACCCAGTGTTAGAGCAGCTCCAGAGAGCCTCATTCCACATACCCAAGCTGTTGTTCTGAGTGTGTCAGGGCTGCTGTGTCCCAATCTGGGGAAACATGCATAGGACCTCTACCTAAGACATCTTGTTTGCCCTGGTGTCCTGGAGTTACCAGGTAGTGTCTCCAGGATGTAACATTATTGCCCTCTAGTGGTTCTATCTGTAGGCACTGGTCCTCAGAGATCCAACACTGGTGGCATTTGAGAACCAGATTTATTTCTGATTTTTTTTTTTTTTTTTTTTTTTTTTTTGTCAGAGTATAAAAAAGTGACCAAAAACCAAGGAAGACAGGACAGGAGCATAGGATAGAAAAGTCAGGAAAGAGAAATGGGGCAGAGAGAGCCCTCCGGTTGCAGGAACAAGGACTGGGGGATTCTAAAGGCAAGCAGACACAACAAGGTGGCCCTTCCATGGGTGGAGGGCACACAGGACAGGAGATGCCAGGTCAGTGGCCTAAATTAACTGTAATGAGCGACCTTGAATTGAGGCCAGCTTCTGGCACACAGAGGGACTAGAGGCTGAGCCTCAACTGTCCCTGAGATTTTAGAGTCCCTGGGAAAGTTAGTAGATGGCAGGATGAGAGTGAGCTGCTGGGGTTATCCTCACTGTCTTTCTTCCTGACAGCACCAGCCCCCAAATACCCAAGGAAGTGTTGTTCAGGTGTCTGGTGACACATGAGAGGAACAGCCCTACATACTTTTCTTGGAAAAATTATAAATACAGACTTTTCTTGGGAAAGCTGCAGAGGTGTGGGCATGCACTCGTGCTCGAGTGTGCACGCACATTTCTTCAAGGTGGTCTCTAAGAGTCATGAAATGAAATAGGGAAGATGCTTAAAGTAAGACTTCCTCAAAGGTAAGGTTGAGAACATTGCTTAACCGGTGGCTGGACATGAAGTTACCTGAACAGCACTGGCGTCTGTGGTGTGCCACACACTGGCCTTGGAGCTTGAGCATCTTGGACCCCTCTCAACTTCACTTGTCATGAGTGGGTAGGTTATGCTGAAGTTTCACAATCACTGAGTGAAGCACATGGCATGATACCTAGCTGGACTGCTGACCGTCACTGTGGATAACAGGTTGGGCCTGCTATACTCTGAGTGGGTTAGGGAAGGGATACACCTGAAAGAGAGCCAAGAAAAGCTTGTCCCACTGTGTGGCTGACCTGGAGGTGGCTGGGGAAGACACAGAATTAAAAGACTTAAGGGGAGAACTCCTGACTCAGGAGATGGGGGGTGGTCACATGTTGGAGGGAACATAAATAAACAGACTCCCTGGGAGTCTGGGGACATTCAAACCCCACTCTTGCTCCAGGCAGCTGCCCTGTTTGCTGCCAGCAGCACCAGGGGGTGGACCTGGGCTTGGATCCCAGAAGAAGGGTCTTCAAGCAGGCAGCAACCACCCACCCAGTCACAGGGCAGAACCTATAGTGCCTCTCCAGAAGAACCTGGAGGTGGCAGTCCTGCCCCTCCCTGTTCACTGGGCTAGGTTTGGCCACTAGGGTATCCTGCAGGATCCAAAGGGGCTGTAGGGCCAGGTCTGCCTCATCCTTGGCTGTGGGCTCTGGTCACAGTGTTGGGGTCTGGGGTCCAAGTCTAGGCAGCAGCTAGGACATATTTCCGAAGGAAGCTGTGGGATCGACAGGAGGGACAGTTGGATTTTTGGCACACCCCAGGATGGTCCTTACCAGATGCCTCCAACCACCCTTCTATGGTCAGAATAGTCATCCTACAACCCTCAGCCTGGTCCCGTCCCTTAGTCCAGGTACTCCAGGTCCCTGCTACTAACCTTGGCTAAGCAGCTGCAGGCTCCGCCCCTCCTCACGCACCTGCAGGTGGAGCACCTGCTGCAGCACCTCCTGCCTCTGGGCCTCTTGAGTCAACCCCATTCTCTGCAGCTTATCTGCATTCAGTCTCAGCAGAGCGCGGCCTAGGGAGAGAGAAGGAAGGAGTCAGTGAGGCAAACAGAGGCAAGGTAGATAGGCCGTACAATAAGACTTTCCATCAAGATTAAAAAAAAAAAATCATAACCAAAGCAAACAACAACAAAAACATACCAGACTAAGAAAGAAGAGCAGAGACGCGGGGATTCTTAAAGGGAGAAAGGTACAGAGAAAGACAAGACAGATCAAAAGATAGGTCAGAGAGACTGGGAGAGGCAGAGAGACACACACAGCAGAGGCACAGAAGGAGGCTGGCGTGGAGGATACAGGGAAACAAGGCTGACTAAGTGAGGTGGAGGCTCTCTTGAGCACCCTGATCCTCCCTAACCCATAACCCACCATACCAGTGATGGCATGCTGGGAGAAGGCCTCGACATAGACGAGGTAGTTGTGAGGACAATGCTTCTTGAGCCACTTGCAAACATCCTGCTGGCTCCACAAGACCACTGGCCTTGTCAGGCCACCCAGTGAAGGGCTTGTATGGTACAAGCCATAGTGATCAGAGTATAGCCGGGCCTGCAGGTGGGGAGGTAAGGTCAGTAGAATGAAGGTAAATAAAAATTGAGAGCAAGGGCTAAGATTAGGTGGGGTAGGTAGGTACCTGGGGGGTCTCTGAGCCTGGCTGTTGAAGGAGCTTGATTGGCCTGCTGCTGGATGCCCTCTGGCTGCGGGAGTCATGCCAGGTGAGGCTGGTGCCTGGTGTCCGAGGCAGGTGGCAGGGTATGTTCTCAGCTGATACTGTGTGCTCTAGGAGGGTCTGGCAGAAGCTGAAATGGGCAGTGGCTGTATGCAGGGATTCCTAGTCAGAGTGGCCAAGGGTGGGCTCCTCCCCTGTGAGCCAGCTTCCTGACAAGTAAGTCTTCTGTCTACCAATGAGGGGTAATTTCTCCTCTGGGGAGACTCTCAAGCCCCCGAGGCAGAAGAAAAATTTTCCAGAGTTGCCTTGAAGACATCTTTAAGAAGATAAAGTGGACAGACCACACTCTTCCCCCAAGTGCGCTTAGATTGGAGGATACACCCCCCCTATAGCCAGGGCAGGGGAGCTGTCCCAGCGCTGCCCTGACTTGCTTTGCTCTTGCTTTGGGCTGGCACATAAGCCTCCCACATGCCATTCAGGACCAGGGTGTACACATACATCTGTCTTCAACAGTTACTATGATTCATTGACAAAAAGTTTGAACTTTTGGGACGCTGACAACAGGAACTTGCCAGACACATGCTTGATTTCCCTTCTGTGTGGCTTCTGCTTCACCCCAGAGCAACTAGTGTGAATAGGGTGCCAGCTAGGAAGGGACTGGTCAGCACAGATGTACTGAGGACCTTCTTCCCCCACTAATTCATTGCACTTGTTAAGTTGGTTTTAGAGAATTACTACTGACATGAGTCTGGGGACAACCAATGTCTGGTCTTGTGTGTCAGGTCTTGGCACACAGAAAGCACCCATAAGCACTGTATATGGACAGATGTCTCTGTGGTGCCTCCAAGCCAACAGAAGAAAGAAGGTGGGCTTAAGAAGCATGTAGTACCACTCTGAGGCAGCCTGTAGTACCATAAGACTTATAAGTGAGCAAGGTTCAGGGAATAGGTAGTGTAGTTTGAGAGCTTGGCAGGGCCTCCCCTGGACTAGGGCTAGAATGCACCCATCTCATAAGGGAAACCAGTCTAACATCTTAGCCAAAGCCAGCCGCACCTGCCAGGGCTCCCCAGGCCCCGCCTATTTGCTCCCTGCGCTGGGCCAAGGTCTGTCTTTCCCAATCCCAACCTCAGAATTAAATGCCTGGGCTCCAGCGTTACAGCTTGGGGAGGGTTTTCTCTGTGTGAAGTAAAGGGTGATCAGAGTGTGGTGTCAGCTTGGTGAAGAAGCTCCTGACAGTCCTCCCCACACCAAGCCAAGGCCTGAGACTGACCGCCGCCCTCCTGCCAACCCTCCTGCCCCATAACGCTGGACAAAGACTTCCCCCGCGGTGGCCGCCCCCGGAAACCCTGAGTCCAGCCCCAGTGCTCTCCTTGGGCCCAGTACCCCTCCCGCTCCCATCCCACTGCCCACGATATTCCTGCTTCTGGGTCCATCCCAGCTCACCGTCCACATCCGGGCGCTCCCCGAAGCCTGAACGCACAGCCCCGGCGCGAGCTCGCGTGGGGCTCAGCTTTGACCTCAGCTCGGTGAACATGGAGCCCGCCAGTGCGCGGCTCGGGTACACGCCCCTCGCGGAGTACCAGGCGGCCAGTACGGCCGATGGGCAACGCGCACCGCGTCCCCACCCGCCCGAGCCCGCCGAGCCCAAGCCGGTCCCCGCGGCCCGGGAGTCTGCGCGGCAAAGCACCTGCCGCCCAGCCCTGGGCGCAAGGCGCGCTCCGGGAGCTCGGAGGTGTATCGGCGGCGCGCGGGCTGCGTATGCTGAGGGTGTCCGCCAGGGCAAAAGGCGTCCTTGCGCACCTGGCTCTGCGGACCAGCCTCTCTTGCAACGTGCTGGAGGAGCTTTGCAGTTGGCAAGCGAGGAACTGCCGGTCCCCTCAGTGTGGTAGTGGTGGCCTTTTACTTACACTGCCTAGCCAAGGGCTGGATCAATCTCTCCCAAATACCCCCATGTCCTAACTAATTCATTTCCTTTTAAATTTTATGAATGTTTTGCCCGAATGTATATGTCTGTGCACCATTCATGTACCTGATGCCCAGAAGCAGAAATCGGATCCCCCGGCACTGGGGTCATGGTCATCTGTGAGTTGCCATGTGGGTGAACCCGTGTCCGCTGCAAAGATATGAGGTATTCTCTTAATTACCGAGCTATATCTCCATCCCCACTTGCCCATTCTTTACTGGAGCGTTCTCTCATCTCAGACCACTTTCCAGAGACACTAACTAGTTGACTCTTGCCGGGGGGGGGGGGTCACTTTGAACTCCAGGCAGTACTATGCCTCTCTGTTGAGCTCCTGAATCACGGACTCAATCCTGCTCCTCCCTAAAAGCTTGTCTGGGGAGCCAAGAATGGTTGTTTGCTTCAGAACCCCACTGAAAAGCATTGGACGCAGAAGTCTGGTTGCCTGGTCCAGCATAGAGTATAGGTCGCAGCAATTTGCAGTTTTTCCTGTGTGCCTTAGAGTCTGGTGCTCTCCTCAGGTGTGGGTGGTATAAGAAAAGTGAGGCAGAGAGGCAGAGTCTATCTCAACAGGTTGAGACTGCTTTAATGAATCAGAGGGGGCCCAAACTTTTCACAGGATGAAGGGGGGAGCACATACAGAGAGCTTGGGACACACACACACACACACACACACACAATTAGTAGCTACCAGGAAGGTAGTTATTTTTGGGATTTAACTGGGGGCAGGGTTGTTTCCCCTAGCATATTGTTTCTGCAAGTAGAGCCCACCATCCCTGGGGCTAAGCAATTCTTTATAGCTTGGGCTATTGCCCAGTACAGCCTTACTCATGACCTGAGTCTATTGTCCAACAGGTGGGACTGGCATTGTCTTGCAGGTAGGGCTGTACACAGGCAGAAAATATCTGTGTAAAATACAGTGGTGCATGTCCACTAAAGCCACTGGGCACACAATCCCAAGCTTTTAACTCCGGCCCACGCACTTGTTCTCCAAAGGCCCACGCGGGTGGGACGGTGTAGGAGGGTAGGGGTCGCATTTTTGAACGCTGAGCGCGCACAGCAGCAGTTGCAGAATGCATGCAATATCCGACGATCGGTGGCCACACAGTACATCTAGGCAAGTCGGAAGTCGTGGTCATATTCACTGAACCACTCAGCTAAGGCTAGGCAGGTCTGAGGCCATGCCAGCACCGGGACGCTCCTGAACAAGCCTGCTGGGTTCAGGCTGTGCATCGTTCCTGGTATATGGCAACAGAACGCTTGACCCTTACGTCTGCCTGCGCGGCCCGCTGCACTAATGTTTAGTAGCTTGCGCGCGCGCACGCGTGCTCGGCTTCTCACAGCAAACCCACCCAGCAGCCGCGACCGGAAACGCTTTGCAAATCCACATCTTTGACTTCCGCCAGAGGTTCTGGATGAGCGGGGTTTTGCGCGACGTAACTCTCTACTTCCGGGGCACAGGCGACATAGTAGCTGCATCTCTTCCAGCTGCGACACTGGGAGGATTCTGCGCCTGCGGCCGCGTACCTGCTCCTCTACTTTTTTCTGTCTCGGCCAACAATACCGCCATGAACAAGAAGAAGAAACCGTTCCTGGGCATGCCCGCGCCGCTCGGCTACGTACCCGGGCTGGGTCGGGGGTAAGGCAGTGGGCGGAATTTATACCAGGAAGGGTGGCTAGTGCCCTGGAACGTACCTCCCGGGCCTAGTTGAGAGTGATACTTGTGACCACTAGGGCTAAGTAGAGAGACCTCGTCTCAAAACAAAACAAAACAAACAAGTGCCTGAGGGTCTGAGGGTGGTGGCGTAGGTCTCTAATCCCGGCATTGAGGCGGGGCGCGGTGGTGATGGTTGGGGGGAGACCAGCCTGATCTACATAGCGAATTCCAAGACAGCCCAGGTTACTTAAAGAAACTTTGTCTCAAAAACAAGATTAACGTTCACCGCTATATATTCTGAGAGGCACTAGGTCTTTTGACACAATGCCTGACAGACACAGCAGCCTTTTTCATCAGAAGAAGCTGGTCCATGAAGCCTGACTGCCACCCTTAGATGTGAATCGGATCTCAGGGATTACGCAGGGGTTTGAGCCTCAGTGTTTTGGTGTCTGAAGTAATATGCATAAGCAAATCGGCTGTAAGGAGCAGTTGAGTCTGATGTGTATAGTAGGTGTGTACTATTCCTTTATTCCCTCTAGGATGTGTGGCCATAGGTCACGTGTTAAAATTCTGAACCCTCTGGACAGGGATAGCCTATGCCTGCCAACCATAGGTGTTGGGTAAATGAGTAGTATTTTTCCTACTTCTTTATGCATTAGATTAGACGTGAGTCTCTCCTGGTAATACTATTTAGAATTGACTTGAGTTCACTAGAAGAGGTTTGGTGTTTGTGTGTATAGGCACACAAAGGTGAAGAGAAGTTAAGAGATATTCAGCAATGTAGCATTTTAGTCAGGTTTACAAAGAGGATTTGAAGTGTCAGATTTGGGAGAGGCAAAGAAAAGTGGAATTTATTCCAGGTGGTATATGCCTTTAGTCCCAGCACTCAAGAGCCAGAAGCCAACTTGGTCTGCAGAGCAAGTTTTAGGCCAGCTAAGGCTATACAGAGAAACTCTGTCTCAAAATACAAACAAAAAGAGGGATTTGGTGTAGACACATAAAAAGGCAGGTAAGGGGCTGTTGAGGTAGCTCAGTAGGTAAAGGCTCTCTCAAGTCTGAGTTTGATTCCCCAGAATCCGTGTGGTAGGAGGGTAGAACTGAAGTTGTCTTCTGACTTCCACACATGTGCCAGGTCACACACACTAAATAAATAAACAAGCAGTTTAAAAAGGCAGCTAGGTGTAGCCAACTGTGCGTGCTGTGCCTCAGACCTGGGTTTGATCCCAGCACCTTGCTCAACCCCTTTAAAGAAGACTAGGGGGGCAGAGAGATAGCTCAGCAGTTAGGAGCGCTTACTGTTCTTGTGGAGGACTTGTAAACAGAGGTGGAGCTTTCTTGTCCTGAGTACACGGTCCCAAATAATCACACAGAAACTTACATTAATTACAAACTGTTTGACCTATAGTTCAGGCTTATTGCTGACTAGCGTTTACATTTAAATTAACCCGTTTCTGTGACTCTATTGCCACGTAGCCCTGGCCTTTCATTTATTTATTTGTTTGTTTGTTTTACATTCCAATCCCAATTCCCCCTCCCTTCTCTCTTCCCGACCCACCCCCCAATCTGCTCCACAGAGAGGGTAAGGCCTCCCCTATAAAGTCTACTAAATCTGTTCCATTATTTTCTTGAGGCAGGACCAAGGCAGCTGTCCACTCCAGCACCGGTGTCTTGGCTGAGCAAGGTTTCTTTCCATATAGAATGGGTAGCCCTGGCTTTTACCAGTCTGCTGGCTTGTTGTTTCTTGGGCGGCTGGCTCGTGTCTCCTTGGACTCTTCCTGTCCTCAGTTTGATTGTTATACCTAACCCTGTTCTGCCAGACAAACAGCTTTTATTATTAACCAATGGGAACAATATATATTTACGGTGTACAGAGAAGCATCCTATAGTATTTCTCCCTATCCGGTTAATCAAAAAGGAAGGTTTTAAATTGTATACAAAAGAAAAAGTTCAGTCCCAGCAAGACCAAAAAAGAAAGGAATCCAGAATAATGGGATTTGCTGCAAGCAGAATGGAGCTGGAGGCTGTGGGGACCTTAGCATTAGATAGAGAGCCCATAGTTTATGAGCTACATTTTTTTATGTTTGTTTGGTTTTGGTTTTTCGAGGCAGGCTTTCTTTGTGTGGCCCTGGCTGTCTTCAAGCTGGCCTCAAACTCACAGAGATCTGCCTGCCTCTGCCTCTCTCCCAAGTGCTGGGATCAAAGGTGTGTGCCACCACTGCCTGACTGAGCTACATTTTTTAAAAAAGAATCACCTGGCAGATTGTGGGTTGAAGTAGGAGTAGTATTTGGGGACAGACAGGATGGAGAGAACTCAAAAGGGAGACAAAGATGATTGTATAATGTCTCTTATGTGTATAATATCTCTTATGAAATGGCTGTTAATGGCTGATCATCCTGGAATAGCTGTTGAGTGCATAAAGGAAGAAACTCAGTTTGGGCCTGGTGTAAAGTGGAGAGTTTGTGCTCAACAGACAATTGGGAATGTGAGTGAGGTCAGAACTAGAGAGGAGGGACTTTTGAAGGCCTGGCAGTGATGTGGAGGAGAAATGGAGACACCTTAAGGTGTCTCTGACCTCACTGTAGGTTAAAAGCTTTAGTGAACAAAGAAGACCAGTAATGGACAAGTGTGCACTTCATTAGTACTAGAGTTATGGCTCCCAGAGTTATGGGAAATGACTGTTACTGAATGATGATCAGAAGAGAGCATAGGATCAAGGTCATTCAAATAATGATATCCTTGGGCTTCCTGCAGTGCCACTGGCTTTACCACCCGATCAGACATTGGGCCTGCCCGGGATGCAAATGATCCTGTGGATGATCGACATGCCCCACCAGGGAAGAGAACTGTGGGGGACCAGATGAAGAAAAATCAGGCTGCTGATGACGACGATGAGGATCTGAATGATACCAACTATGATGAGGTGATTTTTTTTTTTTCTCTAAATGACTTTTAAAGATTTATTTATTTTTTCTTTTCTTTTTTGCCCCTAAGATAGGGTTTCTTTGTGTAGCTTTGGCTGTCCTAGAACTCACTCTAGACCAGG